TGCCAAACGTCAGCCTCGAAACCTTAATGACTTGGAGAAGATCTGCAAAGAGGAGTGGGACGAAATCCCTCCTGAGATGTGTGCGAACCTGGTGGCCAACTACAAGAAACGTCTGACCTCTGTGATTGCCAACAAGGGTTTTGCCACCAAGTACTAAGTCATGTTTTGCAGAGGGGTCAAAAACGTATTTCCCTCATTAAAATGCTAATCAATTTCTAACATTTTTGACATGCGTTTTTTATTTATTTTTTATTTTTATTCTGTCTCTCACTGTTCAGATAAACCTACCATTAAAATTATAGACTGATCATTTCTTTGTCAGTGGGCAAACGTACAAAATCAGCAGGCGATCAAATACTTTTTTCCATTACTGTAGGTATGTGATGACTGTGGGATATTGAACCCACAACCTTGGCGTTGCTAGTGCCACACTTTTACCAAATGAGCCACCAAATAGCAGCTGTGTGTGACATCACTAAAGGCTCAGTCAGTCACTTGCGTCCTCCTCCTCATTAATATGATCAGCCTTACAGTTATAGACAGGCTACTGATTGGTGCAGTCAGGTGTTTTTTGACAAACCCATTCAGACACTAATATGCTGTTATTGGATTTCTATACATCATACGTAGATTCTTACAGAGTCAATACAAACAACCTCACTAAGCCCAACCAACCACGAGTACTGAAAGCCCACTAAGCCCAACCAACCACGAGTACAGTAAGCCCACTAAGCCCAACCAACCACGAGTACTGTAAGCCCACTAAGCCCAACCAACCACGAGCACTGTAAGCCCACTAAGCCCAACCAACCACGAGTACTGTAAACCCACTAAGCCCAACCAACCACGAGTACTGTAAGCCCACTAAGCCCAACCAACCACGAGTACTGTAAGCCTACTAAAATGTTCCCATTGAGAGTAAAAAGACCATGTAAGGAGGTCACTCACTGAGAATGTAAAAGTACTTTAAGGTCGTAAAGAAAAAAAAAACTCTTAGCCTCTTATTACCCTTGGCAGAACCAGAATGAATGAGTTAATATGTAGTCATTGAGCTAGCTAAATATACTCCTTACAGCCCTCTGATAACTTACACCAATGGGCTATTCCAAGGTAATGATCAGGACTGTGTGTCCCATTTGCGCAAAATATGGAATGGTGTAAAAATGGGTCTGGGAAGCAGGTGCAGCAGCCAGCCATTCACGAAGTCATAACCTGTCCATATGGTGCCTAGAATAAAATAACATCTCATTCCCCCATTCATGCGTTACCACAAAGACCTGGCGATGGAAGGGCGTAATGGCATTCTTCTTATTCCGGTCTCTTCGAAGAACCTACTGTGCTTGGAGAGTATAGGAGAGTTAACACTGACTCTGGCTATAGCTAGGTTTCCATTCAATTGGAGACAGATTTTCATGTGAATATTCTCAAATCTGCATACAAACAATATGCGCATTTTCCCACCAGAGATGTGTTTTTATCAAATTGACTTGTTGTGGCTAAAAGGCTGTGCGTGATGACGTAGCGCACTTTTGCAGTTCCCATGTACCGATTAAAAAATCTAATTTAAATTAGTTTCCATCGCATTTTCAACTCTACTGATAAATGTTGCGTTATATAGCGAATGTGCCCACTCTGGTCTTGGCACGTGTGCTCTAGCCAACTGCTCGTTAATTCAACTAGGTCAAATCATGACGTCAGTGATCTTTAGGTCGGAAAGTCCGAGCTCTAGAAAGATGCCAGAGTTTCGGACTTGGAATTCCGAGTTGGATGACCGTTCAAAATGATTTTTCCCAGTTGGAGCTAGTGTTTTACCAAGTTCCCAGTTGTCTTGAAAGCGCTGAAGTCGGAGATTTCAGAGTTACCAGTTGTTTTGAATGCGGCATCAGATCCAGACTCATTTGTAGAGAAGAAACTAACATCTGTGGGTGTGGCGTAGGGTATGTCGGAGTAAATCAAGCTCATCATTTTTTATTATTTTTTGTCATTTAGCAGATGCTCTTATCCAGAGCAATTAGGGTTAAGTGCCTTGCTCAACGGCACATCGACAGATTTTTCACCTAGTCGGCTTGGGGATTAGAACCAGCGACCTTTCGGTTACTGGCACAACGCTCTTAACCACTAAGCTACCAGTGCTGGGTCTCAGAAATACACCAGATTATTTCTTTATTATCAGGTTTCTCTTCACTGTTTTTATGTAAAAAACTAAACAAAAAAACAATTATTTAATCTGTAGCCTAATAAACTGCATGCTTTCCTGAGTTGTAGTGGGAGGACCACACAACACATCATTGCATGACTCCAAGTTTACTTTGATATGATGGTTATTATATCAATATTTGCATATAGGGGCTGTTTCCACCCCCATTTCTGGCATAATACATTTTACAGACACAAAAAGATCTCACTTTGTGTAGCTTATTTTGTTTTACTGACAAATTTGCTGTTTCCATCAGGCCTGTTGTGAAATGTTTTATTCTACATGTACTTTACTCTCAGAAAAAGGTTGGATGGAAACCTGCTTTGTAAAAAGGAAGTAGAGGTGAATATCTGGTCATGTTACCTGAAGATCAATCTAAAAATGTACTATTGTGTTTAGGACTTTTAATTAGGGCTGTGACTATACCAGTATGACAATATTTTTTCCATGACAAAAATGAAAACGCGAAGCAGACTAAACTATTTTGTCCTTTAAAAACCTGCTGTATGTAAAATATTGTGTGTTCTAGCTTGGAAAATAAATAAATATGACTCTGGATGACAACATAATGATGTTTGTTTCCAACATTAGGGCTGTTTTCCTAAAGAAGTTAAATCCGCTTTGTGTTTTGTTTCCTTGCCACGATACTAACGAGTATCGCAATACTGGTATCGGCCCTTTAATGGCACTTTTTGGGGGATATTTTAATGGAAAATTATTATAATGTAATTGGAAAAAAAACATTAATCCATTTTGCAATAAGATGGTTCAGGTAACGGATACAGGTTGAGGAACTGAATCCTGTTACTGATGAATGTACTTCTAAAAAGCTCATAAACCCTCTCCATGTCAACGCTTTTTATTTTTTATTTCTTATTATTTTCCCCTTCTGTTCATGTCTATACTCTTTATCACATCCACACCACATGACAGACAACCAACCATACTCTACCATTGAAAACTTGGGGAAGAACATTTTATTGCTGGGATTTATTAATGGGTTGAAAAGCAGTAATAACAACACAAAATCAAAATGAATGTACACAACGACTTGAGATTTGCTTAGAATGTGAACTGAACAAGACACAATCAAATATATTAAGTAATAAATAAATACAAAAAATTTACTGCCAGCCCAAACGGTCATAAAAATGATAAGACTTCAAATGAAAACTGCACAATAAGGGGAGAAAGATAAACGTAAAAGAACAGCAAAAACAGAAAGGAAGGAACATAGACATCACAGTAAAAAATACATAATCCTGTATCTTAGTAAGGTGCCAGCGCTGGGTCTCAAAAATACACCAGATTCTTTCTTCATTATCAGGTTTCTCTTCACTGTTTTTATGTAAAAAACTAAACAAAAAAACAATCAACGTAATCCAGAATCAGGAGGCCCTAGTACAATATCGATTGACTTCTCCCAGTGGTCAAATATTCATGCATTTTAGAAACACCATCCAAAAAGAGTAGATTTTCTAACCTATCAACATTTTCCTCCTCTCCTTACAAATAAATGCAAGTACATCATCGTTTTCTCCAATAATCACTTTCTCAACATCAAAAAAAGGTTAGATTTTTTGTCATGTATTGTAGTACACCGAGAAAATAAATCAGCTCAAATGATCTGTCTGTACAATACAATACAAAAAACTCAAATGAAAACTCAAATGTTATGTACAATATTGACCTGCAAAGGACGACGGCTATGATGTAATAACATATGTAAACATATTTGTTGTTTTTGACACAGTTGACTGTGACAACAGAAAAAAATGCAAAACTTTTTCACATTAGATAAGTCTTCTTTAGCCACATTGTTTTCAATATTGTACCAAAAAAACTCTCAGACATCATTACTTTGACTAAACCTCCACACACTGAGAAATGGGACAAACAGAATGTAACAAATAACTGAATCAGTGGTCTATGGAAAACTGAATAAACTGAAATAAAAATGCTATAAGGGATCTAAAACATTGCATTTTGCCTGCTGCATCCACTCTAGTATGGTTGAATACCTTCTTGATTGTGGATGTCATGCATACTGTAGATGTCAAATCCTTATTTGAGACCATGGGAAAAAAATGTTTTTTTTAAAATGGAGATACATTACTGCACTACCATTCATTGAGCATTGACTGGTCAGCCCTGACAATGTCTCATCCCTCAAAAAGCATAAGGCAGAAAAAAGACTCCTTAGCTACCACACACGTACCTTCCCTCATACCAATGCTAGGCATAGAAATGTAAATGTTTTATGCTAATTATGTTTTGTCAAACTTTAACTTTAACCGACCAATCGTTCTTATCTTCAGGTCCCTCACACAGATGCCAGCACCACATCACATACATCTCACATGCATGCTCAGAATGGCCGAAATGATGGTTGTTTGTTTTGTTATTTTACAGGGTTACAATGGACAAGGTTGTTTACGCCAAGGATCACACATCTCTGACAGTCACTTGGGAGGGATAGCGAAGTAACAGTGAAATATCTTACACTGCCAAACCTCTGGCAACGACTCCGGGCAGAGCTCCGTCATCTCGTCACAACAAAGTCTCTTATAGTGGTGTCCCTATCAGCGTGTTTCTCCGTATGCTTACCATAGTGTGCTTTTAGGTCACAGTACATTTGAAAATGTTTAAACTTGGACTCATTCACTTAGAGTTCTCATGAGCAGATTTTGTTTTCCTTTTTAAATTACAGCTCCCAATATGGTACTGTCAAGCGTTTATTCCTATTTTCTCCAAACAGTTTTTGAATAATTTTTTGTTTGCGTTGGGAATGGTTGATTTTTTTCTATACATAGTATTCCTTGTCCTTGTCTTTCGGTCTCTTGCTGCTGGCTCCCTTGGCGCCACTGCCCCCGCTGGGCGTTTTGTCTTTCACCACGGCGCCGTTGGTCTGTGCCGAGTTGCTGATGTAATTCCGTGTCTCGTCTACCTGGTAGGAGCCTTCGTCTCTGTTCCTGTACTTGTACATGGCGTAGAGGAGGATGAGGATGCAGAGTGCCGCGGCCGAGACGATGCCCACCACCATGCCCGTTGTGCTGCTGGATTCTCGTATCACCTCCGAGGCCCCCGGGGGCACCCGCCTTACGACAGGTACAGTGGGTAACGTGGCAGGCACTGTGCGTAGCATGGGTGAGGTGATGAGGGGCCCGCGGGGCTTGGTGCCATCCAGGTCGAAGGACGCGGTCGGCAGAGGCAGCAGGACTATGTCCGGCTGTAGGGGTTTGATCACCTCACGGTTATCCATTTTCCCGGCGGGCAGTTTGGGCGGCGTGCCATCCGAGGGGAGGGACGCCTCCGCTACAGTGCCCCCGAGGTTGGGTAGAGGCGGGGTGGGTGTAGTCCTACCCGCCTCTGAGGCTTTGCTAGGCCTCAAGTCCTTGGCCTCCCACTTGGGCGCGAGAGCTTTGTAGCCACCTTCATAGGCCGACGTGGTCAAGATCTTATCTGTTACCAGGGAGAAGGTGGTGTAAAAATCTTCATCGTCAGTGGGGGGCAGGCTAGAGTCGAAATCTTCGCCAGAGCCAAACCCCGATATCACCATTCCATCACCATCATCATCATCACCACCACCACCATCAAGACCATCATCACCATCATCACAATCATCGCTGCCTCGGTCCGACAAGCAAGGTACCCCCGCCTCAGTGGCCATGGGCAGGGACTCTTTGGTGGTCTCGATAATGGTGAGGACGGGCCGGAGGGTTGGGGGGAGGGGGGTAAAAGGAGAATGGGTGGAGACAGGAGGGATGTCTATGGGATCCTCTACAAGTACGGGGATGACTAACTCCCCTCCTGCAAACAGAAACAGAAAAGAGAAGAGTTAGAAGACATGCAAGACGTTCTGAACAAAGACAATAGCTAATCAATCAAACACCAGAAAATAATTACATAAAACATAAAAAGCAAAGCGGAACAAAAACAAACAAAAGGAAATCATATCAACATTAAAGAAAAAATAATAAAGAACAGAAAATACCATACCAGTGCAAATTCAATGAAACCAGAACCAACCAAACAAGACCATGAACTGAAAAGAAACAATAGCCATAGAAATGTCTACATTGAATCAAAAGGCTGCAAGGGATGTGCAAGGGTGAGCCAAAATATCAAACAGAGTTTTTACCACACCTAAAATTCCTACGCTTCAAGTTCAATAACAATTGTACTCTTTTGTGGACAAAGATATCATTATTGGTGCTGGCTTTGTAGCTCTGGGACCTACACACCAGAGGGGTGTAACTGTATTGATTCTGTCTGGTCTAGCATTGCTAGTGTCTGGCTGTCTGGATACATGCATACAATATAAGCTTGAGAAATACACTGACTGTACAAAATGTTCTTTCCATGACATAGACTGACCAGGTGAATCCAGGTGAAAACTATGATCCCTTATTGATGTCACTTGTTAAATCCACTTCAATCAATGTAGATGAAGGGGAGGAAACAGGTTAAAGAAGGATTTTTAAGCCTTGAGACAATTGAGACATGGATTGTGTATGTGTACCATTCAGAGGGTGAATGGGAAAGACAAAATATTTAAGTGCCTTTGAATGGGGTATGGTAGTAGGTGCCAGGTGCACCAGTTTGAGTGTGTCAAGAACAGCAACGCTGCTGGGTTTTTCACGCTCAACAGTTTCCTGTGTGTATCAAGAATGGTCCACCACCCAAAGGACATCCAGCCAACTTGACACATCTGTCAGAAGCATTGGAGTCAACATGGGCCAGCATCCCTGTGGAATGCTTTCGACACCTTGTACAGTCCATGCCCTGACGAATTGAAACTGTTCTGAGGGCAAAAGGGGGTGCAACTCAATATTAGGAAGGCGTTCCTAATGTTTTGTACACTCAGTATATGTTCTAACTAATAACTCTCAAGTTTTGCTGAAAGGCAAAGACAGCTTGCTATAGTCTTATAGTTTTTGTAGCTACTGGGGCACTCTTCTCTGAATTCCTAATATAAAGCAATAAGGCATCAACATAAAGTGATGTTTGAAAAAAAAGAAAAAAAAAAAAAAAAAAGGTGAGATTTTGCTTTCCCATGTGGTTTTGGATTATTGGCCAATGCAAATAATAATGGAGATAGAGGTTAACCTTGTCGGGTTCCTCTAGGGTGCAGAGAACAGGCTAAACTTTCTGTAGCTATTGTTAAGGTCTAACAAAATGAAACTGAGCTAAATATTCCTTCTTATATTCATGTTTTCTCTATGGTGACTTCCGTAGGCTCCCCCACAGACCCTAGACCCTTGCCTTTTGACTTATCTTATACAGTTACCACAATGGCACAAAGTCACTTGACAGTTCAACAACAACTGAATGTTCTGCTTTTATTTATTGTCAAGTGTAGAAGCCCACTTATATCAGTATCAGTTACTATATGTGTGTTCTTGGCTAGTTTTGGAACATGCATCTATCTTTCTTTTACCTTCTCTTGTCCTTTATTATCTTATTTTACTATTACGGCTGTTTCTAAAAACATACAAAAGTAACATTCAGATGTCGATTGAATCTGCATAAACCTCTTGCCAAGGTGGCTAGCTTGTACACTGCAAAGGCTCATCACAAACAGGGCACTAAAAGAAGATGCAAATCTCTAACAACAATACAAATTCTACAAAAGAAAACAAAAGGAAAAAAATAAAATATAAGTAAAGCAATGCAAACACAGTTAAGACTGTCAAACTGAGAGTTAAAGCAAACTTCTTCAACATTCACAAACTAAAGGCACAGACAGATTTATCCATAAGAAGGATTAGTACGTAGAAAGAGGTAAAATAAAGTCAGCTTGGAAAATCATAAGAGAGCCTACAAAAAATAGTTTTCAAAAGGAAGAAAGCATACCATCAATTTTGTCAACTTACATCAACAAATTGCCCGCATGATTTTGGCAGGAAGAAAACAATTTACAAAAGAAAGTTGTGTGAGAATGCTTTTGGACAAGTTAGGTTAGTTTCTTTTGAACAATTTTGATTAATTGATTAAGTTATATCTCTTTTAGACAGGATGGTACAGGGAGGAAACAACACATACATCCACACATCATGACATGAAAAATAATCTTCACCATTCTGTTCAGGATTTTTTTTCTTCTTTTGATATAGTCGTTTTTGTTTTAAAAAAAGAAAACTGTACATCTATAGATAAGTCTGGGCTTTGTGAGAGATAAGCTGCTTTTACGTAGCTTCTCCATAAATATCTACAGTCTGATTATTGAACGTTTTTTTTTCCTTTAACTTGAACTTCGTTGTTCATTAGTTTTGAATGAATGGATGACTGTATCTTAACATCTCTATGTAAAGGGGGGTTTGGGTGGGGGGTGGGGGGGGTGGGGGGGGTGGGGGGTGAGAGGGGGTTGGGACCTATGAACAGACTAGGTAAAAAATGACATAGATGGGGGTGAATGTGTACGTCAGTTGCCATGTCCATGTAAAGGTGGCACGAAGCGGCCGGGCAGCATTAGAGCTTTTGGCTGTAAGGAAGGGACGGGGACATACAAACAATGAGCATATACATGCCCATCTACAAAAGAGAACAGCACTTTCAACACAGTTTTTTACAAACCCTAAGCTGCAACTTCTTTCTTTGCCATGCACAAATTAATAATCAATTAATTCATTATAATCCAAATGTAATCAAAATTGCTAACAGGAAAGAATATATCAGTGTAAGAACAGCTTTGAAACAATTTGAAACAGATAGTGGTGAGGATAGTTGTATTTTTGAGTTTTCTTCTCTTTTTTTCTCAATGAAATGATTTTGTAATTTGTAATTGTATAATGGCTCAGGTGTTTTGGGTAGCCAATCAGAGCAGTGGATTTCCAACCACAGTCGACCAATCAAAATCATTAAGAAAAAAGGAAGAAATGTACTAATTAAGAATAAATCATGATAACATTATCAATAGTACTTCTAAGCTAATTATCAGATTGTTAAAGAGGTAATTTCAGTAATTAACATAGATATCCACATATATGTATGTTTACATATATGTACAAACAGACAAATAAAAAAAACAATTGGCAAGCAAGAAATTAAAAGCATAAAAAATTCTCACACACTATCAAAGATGAACAACCAGAAAGCACACACTGAGGCAGACGTAGAGAGGAGGAACAGTTCGTAGGGGAAATTGTCACCAACTTCATATAGTAACTAATAATAATAACATTGTTATTAGTTATTTCTTTATGAAATACATATCTGTTGTTAGTATTTTTAAAACACAAAACAGGCGTGCAATCTGGGTGTACGTCAGAGAGAGGTAAGAAAATATTGGACATTGGATATTTTAGTTGTTTTTACTATAAGGTTCATGTTTAATGCATGCTTTAAGTAAGTTGCATTTAGGGAGAGTAATATACAGTAACAGTACAGCAAGCTGGGGGTCATGGTGGCAGGAGGGGGTTAAAGGTCACTAGAGGTCATCGTACCAAAGGCTGTAGGGTATATTGTTTTCAGGCAAAGAACCATTTACTATTATCAGACATTAACCATCTGGTAGGAAGAAGGAAAACCATTGGTGATAGTATTTACCTAATCAATCAAGTGGAAGTTAATTAATTAACGTCGACTTTTAGTAAATGTTTAGTTCAGTTTTATGCTAATGCATAACCAACAGCCTTTGCTTGACAGATAAACAGTGTTTAGACAAAGTTCCATAAGAGGGCACAAGGAGTTGGGGCTATCCATGCCCCATGGGGACAAGAACATTTCTTTTTAGATGTATAGTCCTGGTTCTCCTGCTTTGGGCTCTGGAACAGTTCTCTGAGAGACGTGATTGGATAAAATTGTGTATATAGGTTTATCACTATGAAAGAGAGCTTAGGTATCTTTAGCGTTATTGGTTGGTACTTGCCTTAGGATGTCAATGTACATGTCACGTTATTTAGCTAACACAACCTATAGGGTCCGTGGATCACCGCCAAGCCCAGGTGTGTAGTCTAGAGACAATATACTCTGCTCTGTACACAGCATTCCTGTTGCCATTGTGTGACTATGGTAATGTTTTAATCAGGAATCGGCTACCTGCCTTGTTAGAAAAACAGTAGCATTGCTCACTAAGTGATTTCAGAGTCTGTTTATCTCTGTCTACCCTGTATCGTCTTGGCCTTGTTTGCATCTGTACGCTCACTCCTTCATTCCTGAATGTCTAAAAGCTTTTGGCAATTGTTAGCTTTCCTGCTAGATCAACAAACGCTTTGCATCCCATCCGAAGGGAGCTGCCTGAGTGTGTGAGAGTGTGTGTGTGTGAGTGTGTGTGTGTGTGTCTGAGAGGTGTGTGTGTGTGGCTCTAGGAAGAAAAAGCCTGCCAGAGGACCTTGACGTTTTAGTAAACACTTTAATCCTCTACATTAGCACTCTAACCAGCACTGCACATTTCTCAGTGTTTTACCTCAGTGCAAACACTGCACATTCTAATGGGTTTGCTTAACGAAACGCAGTTTCTTTAGTTTTCTCAGCTAATGTCAAGACAGAGGGGCTTTGTGCTAAGCCTCCCTTCCTTCACAAATAAGTCTACAGTGTACACTTCAGTAGACCTGGAGGTACACCTGCTAGTGTTTTCTTTCTCTCTCTCTTTCTTTCTCCCATGGTGATAAAGTCTAGAAAGAAAAGCCTTGAGACTAAATAGGGAAGCAGTATGATGTACTAACATCTTCTGACGTCATCCTATAAACAAAGTGGTCCTTCAGACAGACGAACGCTAATGTAGGATGCGTCAGACTAGACGGGACAAAAGCAGTTTGAACAAAACCATCCTCAACCTCACTAGTGACCTGAACATCCGGAGGGAACCAGATTATGATCAAAATCTCAGAGCAGCAGTTTCTGTCCTCCCCAAGTTTTAAGTTTCAAGTTTTATTAGCCGTATGGAGATGAGTCCCGTCATGCAGCGTGTCATAGAGCCCTGCACAGGCATGAATTTTAAGCCCTACCCATGCCCGCGACGTTCAGGCCCTACCCTACCCAGGCCCAATTACTTCCGCCAAATTTAAGGCCCGGCACTGCCAGAAACCCGAAATCAGAAATAACTTCCTACGTTAGTAAATCCATTACCTACTCCTCTCCGTCTGTCACTCACTCCTTGCGTGCAGCCAACTCGCTCTGCATGCACTCTGCTTATGGCGGATCTGAGTCTGTGAGTATCCATAGCAACGGCTTTGCTTGGGCTGCTATGCTCAATGACAAGACATGAGAAAGCTAGCTACTTTTCTTCACTCAGAACAAAACTCAAGGAATATTATTTTCTGTGAAATAATCTCTCCTGTCTTATATTTGACGAGGTTGAAGCACTTCTGACACCATGTTATGATTTTAGTCAGATATGACTGTACCGCGCAGCAGAGCATGAGCAAATGGGTCAGCTTCAAAATGTTAGTGATCAATTTAGTGATACCCGAGCCCTGCCTGTACCCTGATGAAAAAATAGGCCCTACCCGGCCCTAAGCCGATGTATAATGTCAGGGCCCTTCGGGCTCGGGTTGGGTAGCAGAGCTCTAAGGCTCGGGGTTTATTGGCTGGGACACCACAGAGAGAGAGACAGCAGGCAGGCAGCACAACGACACCGGCCCAGACACGGCCACACTGACTCAATGGGATTTTACAGGGCTGGTAGAAGATTGTGGGTGAGTCAGTAGTTTTTGGGCCAAAAAGCCCATTGTGCCTTAGTGCATTGTCGCCCAGAGGCCTACTGAAGAAAATGAATTCACCTCTGGCTCTGCTGCAGAGAGATGAATACCAGAGCGAGAGAGAGAGAGTGGCTCCGCTCCTCTCCAGCGAGCAACAACACAACACTTAGACCTAGATTTAAGCAGATCAAGAGTTAACCGGTGATAGCAGACACCCGCATAGTGGATGTTTTGGAGGTGTTAGAGGTGGAACTGTGTTGGAGCCGTCAAATCGGTGAGTAGCTGCTCTTGCGATCATTGTCAGGAAGCCACACCCACTCTACTCGCATTACAAGTTCAGAGCGAGAAAGTGTAGGCTATTTAAGCAATAAGGCCCGAGGGGGTGTGGAATATGGCCAATATATACCACAAAACCCTGTGGTGCCTTATTGCTATTATAAACGGGTTACCAACTTAATTAGAGTAGTAAAAATAAATGTTTTGTCCTACCCGTGGTATACGGTCTGATATACCACGGCTGTCAGCCAATCAGCACTTAGGGCTCGAACCACCCAGTTTATAAATATAAATAATTACACTCAAATTAAAAAATAGGGATTTCTATCATCCTAATCAAGGTGTAGATTACATCTCACATTCCAGTGTTTGAACTTGTAAACAAGGCTGCATGGGATTTCTATTAATGTGACTCCATGCAACCAATGGCAATGTCCGCTTAAGGTATAATGCCAGGAGCATTATGGATTTGACAACTCTAATGCAGTTCCACCTCCGACACCGCCAAAACAACTGCTATGCGGATGTCGGCTAAAGTGGATCTGATTGAATAAAGCCCTTACTCTCAGAGTATTAAAAGGGATATATAGCACCTGGGCTTATTATAACATACAAGTGCATCAGAGGGGAAGTAAAAATAACTTATCCTATCATCTAGGACCCCTGGGGGTACTTGGCCTATCCACAGGGGTTACTTGAGAAGACTCATGAGACCATAGGCCTACTGGTAAAATGCACATGAGGGGGTGCTTCAGGGGTACTCCAGGCGGCGCAAAATTCAGTTGATGGTACAGTAACAGAAAAAGGTTGGGAACCACTGATCAATGGGGCACAAACTTAAAAGTTTATATTTTCCACTCGAGGTAAATCTCAGTAGCATAAATCTAAGAGAAGATTGACAGCTTGTCAGAATACAGACAGCAAGACAGGAAGAAATCTTCACCAGTTTGTGAGGAAGCACCAATGTCCTACTCTACAGGGGTGAGGGGGACTTCTTTTTCAGAGGGGTGTCCCTTATCCGGGCGTGTGGGTGGCAGATATCCGGGCGTCTCCGGGCGTGTGGGGGGTGTCCTCCTGTCCTATCCTTTAACCAGTCACCTAGCATGGAAGATAGCTAGGATGTTTTTTTGTCGAGTTGTGCTGTCCTTTGTAGGACAGTGTGGCAGATAGGCTGGCTGGGTGCACTCCAGCCTATTAAATTGGCATCCTCCAGCCAGCCAGCCACCGCTGTGTAAAGCAGCCAAGCGAGTACCCTGTCGGCCGGTCGATTTGTCGAAGGGCCATTAAGCTCACCTCACCGCTCTGATGACATGTCAGCTGAACAACCTTTAAACTGATCTGGGGCCTGCGTCAAAGTGACAGTCAGCCCGATGGGGCCTGACGATGGCAGCTCCAGCCAGCCAAGGTCCACCGTTATGCCACTAGGCGAGAGGGAGGGAGAGTCACTGATCTGTCCCGCTCATAGTTCACTCTCTCCTCATCGCGCCCGTCGCCCGCCTGACGCCCCCGCTTCGTCCTGGTCCTTCATATCATCAGCACTACCATCAGCACTACGATAAAGAAATCATGGGCTACATCGCTCCCGATCTAACACAGCCTCCTCAATGGCATCTCTTTCTATGTTTCCCTGCCGCCTCATGTGTTAAAGAGACATGCAGAATTAGGTTAGTCCTCCATTAGATCACTGGGCCTATTCATCGTCGTTGATACGCTAATCTAATGGCTCATGCGGTTACATTTCATAAGGTTTTATTACATGTCGTTTATCCTTCTGCTGGATGGCTGTCCTGTGTCCTCGTTTTATGCAGGCACTGTGAGACTGAAAGTGGCGCTGTGAAGTAAACTATCTCCGTACCTGACGACCTGCCGCTCTGCTCTTTGGGTTCTTTGAAAAATTATGTTGCACTGGATAAGAATGTCGGCTAAGTGACTAAAATGTAAATGTACAATGTAATGATTGGCCGAATTGGTTAGGCGTTAGGCTAACCAAAGTGATTGATCATCAGCAGCATTTATTGTAACGATGACCCCTCACAAGAGACTTGAACAGCATGTGGATTTCCTGGTTGATCAGTCAATTTGTCAACTTCTGAAGTGGCTTACATCTATCGGAGATTTAGCTGTCTAAATGAGGGTTGATAAGAAAGTAAGTTAAGGGAAATGTGCTTTATTGTGTTGTCATCTACTTATCGAATCGGTACAGCGTACAACTGTAGTTCTTGAAATGGAGTCAGCCCCAGGTGTAGAATATTCTGTTCCTGCACTGTTTCTCTCGCCTTCTTGTGGAACTCTCTCAGGATCAGAGGGTAGTTTCAGGTTGACAGTTTTAAAACATAGACAAAACAATCACAGACAAACAGTAAGAACAGACACAACAGGTTGGCAGACATACACAGACACAGAAACAAGACATCACAAGAAGCAGGAGGGGCACAGTGGAAGGGTTTTAAACCACCACTGCTGTCCCTAAACACATAACAACAGTGGGCAGGGCGGGGCAGGGTTAGCCTCAGAGCAGAGTTATGGGTGGAGGTAGAAGCATAGAAAATGTCCGCCAATCAAATCCACATGCATTAGCAGAAGGAGGAGGAGTCACCGAGGTAGTTACAGAAAGTTAGTCTTCTAGTCTATTGTACAGTCACGTACGTATGCATGCCACAAATGCCTTCTACTAGGAGCAACAGATATAGAATAGAAAAACAGATATACTTTGTGGCAATAAAATTATTTTTATGCCATCTGCATTCAAAACAGACATGTATATGCAGAAAGGCTGAGAGAAAGAAGGCGGGGTTGGATGGGGTTGGGTTGGGGTCGGGGTAGGATGTTGTGGGGGCGGGAGTCATTCTTTCACACACAACTTTCTTGAGACAGAATGGGGTTGCCTGCACAAGGCCCAAAAAAGGATGATGGCAAGAAATTATTTTGTTGCCTTTCATTTCCTGTGTTGTAAATCGAAAATGGGGGATGTTTCAGAATCAGCCTTTAATGGCACAAAAAACATAAACAAGAAGATGAGTAGGAGAACTGTAGTTTTTTTTTAACCACCAAAATATCATGCGGCACAAGATGAGGCAAAACGGAGGGAGCAGCTCTATCCTGGTAGATGGACGGATGAGGGCACCAAGATAAACAAATAAATACAAACAAACGAGTCAGGACAACTCAAATCATAAGCAAATGGAACAGATAGTCAGAAAGGGGTACATCAGAGGAGAGATGTCCAGAATGCGCTTCACCATGGAAAATAAAAATATTAAAATGAAAAAGAAACAAAACAAATAAAAAGCAATGTCATGCAACTGTTAACAAAACCGGAAGCAGGGGATCAGAATGAGGATATGAATTTCTGTGTCAACATGGTGAGAGGTATGTATGTATGACTGTGTATGACTAAATGTAGTTTACTATTATCATCACTATATGAGGGGGGGGAGGGGGGGTACCAAGTTGACTAAATTCTGACTAACAAGTTCATAGTATACTGTAGTTACTGACTTACTCAAACCTTTGCTTTTGAGAATACTTGGGATTCAAGTTTTAATGTTAAACTTTTAAATTGTTCAAGCTGTCAGCCATGTCCATTTCATTTCTTCTAGGGTAAATACAGACGTAACTCCATGCCACAAGATAACATAAAGCTATCATATGCATGGCTTTGCAGAGGAAATTACTTTCTCCTGACAATAGTCAAATCAAAAGGACCACACACAAGAAAAGATAACATTCCTGCTAAAAAACCTTAAGCACAATTTCCACACAACGAATGCCCTTAGCCTACGTTACAATAAAACTATAAGATGACAAAGCTCTAGAGATTATAAACTGTAGAATTACTTCCTTATCCCTGTACACATATTCAGAAACCTATCTCAACACGGAAATATATAAATAAATAAAATATATAAATAAATAAGCCGAATCGTCGATCCATGATCTTCTACCAGGAATAACAGAATAGGCCAATATAGCGTTTTCAATTGGTCTTAATGGAATCTGCTTCACATTGTGCTCGGTGAAAAGTGGACATATGTTTCGTAATTAGCCCGGGCATATTTAGGCAGATTAGTGAGGCATTAATTAGTGTTCTACGATGGCATTCTGAAGGACAGCCCAGTAATTAAAAAGCTTTCGCTTGCTAGTGAATGACTGCCATAGGGCTTCAGGGGAGGAGAGAGAGGGGGAGAGGTCCTTCACACCATAGATATACACTCACTGGCCAGTTTATTAGGTACACCCATCTAGTACCGGGTCGGACCCCCCTTTGCCTCCAGAACAGCCTGAATTCTTCGGGGAATTCTATAAGGTGTCGGTAATGTTCCACAGGGATGTTGGTCCATGCTGACCCGATGGCATCACATAGTTGCTGCAGATTGGACAGCGGTACATTCATGCTGCGAACAGCCCGTTCCATCTCATCCTAAAGATGCTCTATTGGGTTGAGGTCTGGGGACTGCGCAGGCCACTCAAGTAAACTGAACTCTCTGTCATGTTCCAGGCAATATTTTTCCACTCTTCAATTGTCCAGTGTTGGTGATCGCGTGCCCACTGGAACCGCTTCTTCTTGTTTTTAGTTGATAGGAGTGGAACCCACTGCAATAGCCCATGTGCGTTCCCAAGATGCCGTTCTGCACAACATTGTTGTACTGCGCCGTTATTTGTCTGATTGTGGCCCGCCTGTTAGCTTGCACGATTCTTGCCATTCTCCTTTGACCTCTCTTATCAACAACCTGTTTTCGGCCACAGGACTGCCGCTGACTGGATGTTTTTTGTTTGTCACACCATTCTCAGTAAAACCTAGTAATTTCTATTTCCGTGCTGGTTCGCCCACTGAACCAGACAGTATTAGTTAGTAGTTATTCATTCTCAGGCGCAATAGGAGTCTATCTGGGTTTATTATCCTCATACGACAGACAACACGACTGCGTGAGCTCTGTTGGGAACATGATTCACAGCTTGATATGAATATTAACATGCATAAAACCCTAAACCCAAGTCGTCTCAAAACAAGTGACATGTTTCCATTTAAAACACACTTAATTATCACCTCTGATATTATGTGTTATTATTATTTCACACTACTGTTAAGTGAAGTGAGAGTAACAGTGCCTTCAGAAAGTATTCATACCCCTTGACTTATTCCACATGCTGTTGTGCTACAGCCTGAATTCAAAATTGACCCCCCCCCCCCCAAAAAAAAAAGAGTGAAAATATGTTTTTAGACATTTTTGCAAATGTATTGATAATGAAATACAGAAATATCTCATTTACATAAGTATTCACACCGCTGTGCTATGACACTCCAAATTGAGATGGCTGTCCAACCAAACTGAGCAACCGGTCAAGAAGGACCTTGGTCAGGGAGAACCCAATGACCAAGAACCCAATGACCACTCTGACAGAACTACAGAGTTCCTTGGCTGAGATGGGAGAACCTGCCAGAAGGTCAACAGTCTCTACAGCACTTCACCAATCTGGGCTTTATTGGAGAGTGGCCAAAGGGAAGCCACTCCTGAGAAAAAGGCACATGACAGCACGCCTGGAGTTTGCAAAAAGGAACATGAAGGACTCTGAGAGCATGAGGCAAAATATTCTGTGGTCTGATGAGACCAAAATTTAACTATTTGGCCTGAATGCAAAGCTCTACGTCTGGAGAAAACCAGGCACAGCTCATCTACTGTGAAGCATGTTGGTGGCAGCGTCACGCTATGGTGATGCTTTTCAGAGGCAGGGACTGGAAGTCTGGTAAGGATAGAGGAAACAATGAATGGAGCCAATATATTGTGGAAATCCTTGATGAAAACCTGCTTCCAAGTGCAAATGACCTTAGATTTACGTTCCAACAGGACAATGACCCTAAGCATACAGCCAAAGCAACGCTGGAATGGCTTCAGAACAAGAATGTCAAAGTCTTTGAGTGGCCCAGCCAAAGCCCAGACTTGAATCCCATTGAAAATCTGTGGAAATACTTGAAGATTGCTGTTCACCACCACTCCCCATCTAACTTAACAGAGCTTGAGAAAATCTGCTAGGAAGAATGGGAGAAAATCCCCAAATCCAGATGTGTAATCGCCACCACAGATGCTTCTACAAAATATTGACCCAGGGATGTGAACACTTTTGTAAATGAGACATTTCTGTACTTAATGTTTTATACATTTGCAAAAATGTATAAAAACATATTTTCAATTTGTCATTGTGGGGTATTGTGTGTAGATTGGTGAGAAAAAAGAATATATTTAATCCATTTTGAATTCAGGCTGTAACGCAACAAAATGTGGAATAAGTCAAGGGGTATTAATATTTTCTGAAGTCACTGTATATCTCACTTTAACCTGGTGACAAACTATGTGTGGTATAGGAGGAGAGACAGAAAAACGATGCGCACAGAAATTCGAGGATATCTGTTCTCTATTAGAATGTTTCAGGTAAGGCAAGCCTCCGACGTATAAGGAAACAAAGGAACAAACAGGAGAAAGAGAGAGGGGGAGGACTGGGTCCGTTGCAGTTAGTCTGCCACATATCACAGTATCTATGCTGAAAGCATTTTGTTCTTTGACATTTTTTCTCAAAATGTATCCTCTGTCGAGAAGACGCACACACACGCACAGCAAGAAACATGTCAACCATTTAAAACAGGACAGATACATTTTGAAGCATCAGTTTGGACAGGTGAACATGGAGCTTGATACTAATTTTGTACTTTTTGATTGAAAGTTTGCTCTCTTGAATGCTGAGAGAACAAAATTAGTATTAACGGTTTTAACCATGTTAACGACCAAAGGCCCCATTGCTAAGTGTAACTTATATCAGAGACTATACTAAAACTGTATCACTGACTATAGGCTATAACACTATACTATATGTGGGTGTGTCTAGAACTATGTATATATGCGGTTACTTACAGTTTGGAGCATAAACATAACTTAAAACTTAAAAAGTGACTTTTCTACAGAGGGCATGCTAAGGATATCATCTTACTTTCATCCAACTCCAAAGTGCTTAGAGCACTTTCAACTTTCCATTTAGCTAAAACCTTAGACTCGTGCTACTGTATCTCTTGGTGATTTTAGGAAGTCTTTTGAAGTTACACTTTAGGCTCCCATGGGACCTGATGCTTAGAGGAGAACGATCCTCTTTTTGGTTTTGGTTGCAAATCAAAGTAAGAAAGAAAGAAAGACTGGTAGGTCTGAGCAAGCACAACTCGACACACCCATCCCACCTGCGTGTCCGGAATCACACTCCTCCAGATCCTCGTCATCGCTGGAACACTCCGCTGATGATACTATGTCATCTGTCGTCTGCTGGTGGAAGGAAGACACAGAGGCACACAAGGGACAGACACACAGAGACAAACAGACAGAGAGAAGACATCAAAGAACATGGTGAGAGGCTGAACAGCACATTGAGTCACAAACACACACTATGAATCACCTAAGTTAAAGATATCTGTATGGAAGCTGTTTTGAATCAGCCGAGAGGAGAAAATCTTAACAAATTGGACAGTTCTTGATTTCCTTGTCCCAAATATTTTATTGCATCCATCCTCAACCCCAGGACGTGGGTGCTCACATTACACCATGATTCCCTAGTTGATCCTGCACTGGAAAAAAAATGCCGACAAGCAAACAGCGAGCTGCTTTATTAGTGTGCACATTATTATGTGCAGAAACATCAAATAAGAGACGGAGGCGCAGAATATGGACCCACAAATGGCTGGACAGACTATAACTTTTAGGGTAATAATATAACTTTTTTTTATATAAAACCAGGTTGCTATAGGGGAGAGGCTATTTTATCCCAGCCTTTATCTTTTTGGTTTCTGTCATTGTAGGACGCAGAGGTAAAATTGAAAAGGCTGCGTTCTCTCCACAGCTCCACCAATATGTCTTCCATCACCTCGGTCCACATGGTGCGTGTTGTTGTTGCTTTCCTCTTCACCATGATTGGGCGAGTTTGTTTAGCATGGCCCGGTACCCCGGGTGGGTGGAGATTTCACTTAAGGACCAATAGAATGGTCTAAAATGTACAAACTCCGCCCACCCGGGAAACCGGGCTATGCAAAACGAACTTGCCCATTGTTTTGGTCTCACATTTTTATTTATTTAACCTTTATTTAACTAGGTAGGCCATTTACAACTGCGACCTGGCCAAGATAAAGCAAAGCAGTGCGATAAAAACAACAACAACACAAAGTTACATATGGGATAAACAAAAACTTACAGTCAATAACACAATAGAAAAATAGATAATCTATATACAATGTGTGCAAATGTAGTAAGTTATGGAGGTAAGGCAATAAATAGGCCATAGTGCAAAATAATTACAATTTAGTATTAACACTGGAGTGATAGATGTGCAGAAGATGATGTGCAAATAGAGATACTGGGGTGCAAATGAGCAAAATAAATAACAATATGGGGATGAGGTAGTTGGGTGGGCTAATTACAGATGGGCTGTGTACAGGTGCAGTGATCGGTAAGCTGCTCTGACAACTGATGCTTAAAGTTAGTGAGGGAGATAAGAGTCTCCAGTTTCAGAGATTTTTGCAGTTCGTTCCAGTCATTGGCAGCAGAGAACTGGAAGGAATGGCGGCCAAAGGAGGTGTTGGCTTTGGGGATGACCAGTGAGATATACCTGCTGGAGCGCATACTACGGGTGGGTGTTGTTATGGTGACCAATGAGCTAAGATAAGGCGGGGATTTGCCTAGCAGTGATTTATAGATGACCTGGAGCCAGTGGGTTTGGCGACGGATATGTAGTGAGGGCCAGCCAACGAGAGCGTACAGGTCACAATGGTGGGTAGTATATGAGGCTTTGGTGCCAAAACGGATGGCAATGTGATAGACTACATCCAATTTGCTGAGTAGAGTGTTGGAGGCCATTTTGTAAATGACATCGCCGAAGTGCTTATTGGCTTTTGGCAGTAGTCCTTGCCCAATCTCGTCGTAGCACTGCTCATACTACAAGATTTCACCCTGATCATGAACATTTATCAGGGACGGCAAAAACGTTGCGGATTCGCGGTAAAATTGTGTAGTGTATGCCCGGCAACAATCTCCTACTACCATCCCACTCAAGGACATCTAACCAGCCTATACTGTACATAAGGTAGGTTTTCAGAGTATTCCACCCCGGCCCGAGCTTCCTACAGTACATCACCTCAAGTCAAACATCTTTCATTGTGTTTATCATTCTTTACTTTGTGTTCTCTCCTCCCTCTCCGCCTACAGATAATTGTTTTCCTTTTAGCTGTCCTTTCCTTCCTGCTCAAATTATTTACAGCCCGCTCCTCCTCTCCTCCTCTCCTCCTCCTCTCCTTCTTCTACAATCAATGGCCTCTCATGAAACACCCAGAGCCACAGATCAGCCTTGTCCTACTGAAACGCTGTGATTTGTGCAGTAGAGAGGGGGAACGGTCGGGGGACGACGACTGCGTCCCAAATGGCACCCTATTCCCTATATAGTGCACTACTTTTGACCAGAGCCCTATGGGAACTGGTCAAAAGTAGTGCACTAAATAGGGAATAGGGTGCCATTTGGGATGCAGATGAATTTGAGGCGCTTGCCGACCGGGTGGATTATCAGCCAACCTCCAGTATCCCACAATTCTGATTTATACCCTCGCCTCTTCTCTCGAGCCTCACACGGGGAGGACGGAGAGGTCGTATTTCAGCGTGACGTGGAGCGGCGTTTATTAGAAGGGATCAGCAGGTAGATAAAATAAAAGGTGTCACAGAGCAGGGTTATGAAATCACAGCGCTGATTGAGTTTGCAGTGCTGGACCACCACGCTGCCTGCTAGGCTTTAAATATCATTGAGTTTGACAGACTAATGAAACGCGGCTGCTGCTGCCTTCACCTCCTCCGCCACCTCCATGATAGCCGTAGCCGCCCTGGAGAAGGCAGTCAGGCAGTGGCCCTGATATGCCGGCGAATACACACACTCCACGGTTAGCGAGTCAATTTATTAGAAATATATTCAGAGAGAGAGAGAGAGAGAAAGAAGAGAGAGAGGGAGTGATAGAGAGGGTGATGTGGTGTGTGTGTGTGTGTGTGCGTGTGTGTGTGTGTGTGTGTGCGTGTGCGTGTGCGTGCGAGAGAGAGAGAGAAATAAGTCACAGAAGAAAGAAGGGAAACTCTCTAAACTGAATTGCTGTAAAATATATGATATATATGATGTGATTCATTGAAGTCACATTATGTGTATAAAAAGCCTGGTTATTCCTGAGAGAAGATATTGCTCGCTGCTTGCTGGTTATTCTGATCGCAAACGCAGAAAAGGACATAGAGAGAAGAGAAGAAAACTAACCCAGACTTCAAACAATGGCTGTTCCACCAATCTCAGTCTCTCCCCACACATCTCAGCTCACTATCAATCCAAATCTCACAGCTGCCCTGGATATATTGTTTCAGCTGTGAGCCCAACACATTCTAGGTCTTTGGTTTTCAGCTTCAGCCCAAAACATCCTTATGCCTGTACCCATCTGCTTGTATGTAACCAACGCCTGACACACTGTACACACTGAACATGTTTGAAGCCTGTGTGCCTGAGGAAGTCTCTGCCCTGAGGCTCTCACCTATTCTCCAATATGTCTCACAGTATAGAGATGTTGGAGTCTAGGAATAAATGTACCACAGTCTCACAGCATAGGGAACCCACGTCTGAGTTGGAAAACAAACCCACAACAGGACCAGAGGAGATTGGCCACCATGCAACAGGCAGCGGGGTGCTCTGTCAGGAAGTAGAGGGATGGAGAGATGGTTGGTTGATGCTTTCTGTCTGAGTCTAGAGACAAACCCACAACAGGACCATAGGAGATGGGAGGTTGGCCACCATGCGACAGGCAACAGGATGTTGTGTCAGGCAGTAACAAAGCTATCATGGTTCTCAGCCTGGGAAATCCGTCTCTCACTGGGTTTTGTAATCTCTCTCCTCTCTCTCTGACCCAATATCACACAGAGACCAGAATACTAGAACTGAACTGAAAGAAAAAACTTTAGGGTTTGGAGTTCAACAAAATAAGGAAAGTCTGTGTTGGTTCTTCACTTTATACAGGTTTTATGAAAGATACATCTAAGTGGACAGGTTCTGAATCATGCATATCCTCTATTTTTGGAAGTTAATGCAGATCAGATTACATTTCCTGACATAGATTACATTCAAAGTCAAATCCACAATGTTTTTAACTGAGATGTTTGAGATAGTCTAGGCTTCTAAAGCTTTAATCCCCACCTTTACGCTGATGCAAAACCAATGAACTGATGCCTGCATTATGAATCATACACCTGTCTCCTAGACGGTCAGAAACATCAGTATTGGTCTTCACAAAGTTTTCTGCTTCAGTGTTTTTAGATATTTTTGTCAGATGTTACTATGGTATACTGAAGTATAATTACAAGCATTCCATAAGTGTCAAAGGCTTTTATTGACAATTACATTAAGTTTATGCAAAGAGTCAATATTTGCAGTGTTGACCCTTCTTTTTCAAGACCTCTGCAATCCGCCCTGGCATGCTGTCAATTAACTTCTGGGCCACATCCTGACTGATGGCAGCTCATTCTTGCATAATCAATGCTTGGAGTTAGTCAGAATTTGTGGGTTTTTGTTTGTCCACCCGCCTCTTGAGGATCGACCACAAGTTCTCAATGGGATTAAGATCTGTGGAGTTTCCTGGCCATTGACCCAAAATGTCGATGTTTTGTTCCCCGAGCCACTTAGTTATAACTTTGCCTTATGGCAAGGTGCTCCATCATGCTGGAAAAGGCATTGTTCGTCACCAAACTGTTCTTGGATGGTTGGGAGAAGTTGCTCTCGGAGGATGTGATGGTACCATTCTTTATTCATGGCTGTGTTCTTAGGCAAAATTGAGAGTGAGCCCACTCCCTTGGCTGAGAAGCAACCCCACACATGAATAGTCTCAGGATGCTTTACTGTTGGCATGACACAGGACAGATGGTAGCGCTCACCTTGTCTTCTCCGGACAAGCTTTTTTCCAGATGTCCCAAACAATCGGAAAGGGGATTCATCAGAGAAAATGACTTTACCCCAGTCCTCAGCAGTCCAATCCCTGTACCTTTTGCAGAATATATATTTTTTATTATTTCACCTTTATTTAACCAGGTAAGCCAGTTGAGAACAAGTTCTCATTTACAACTGCGACCTGGCCAAGATAAAGCAAAGCAGTGCGATAAAAACAACAACACAGAGTTACATATGGGGTAAAAAAACATAAAGTCAAAAAATACAACGGAAGATATATATACAGTGTGTGCAAATGTAGCAAGTTATGGAGGTAAGGCAATAAATAGGCTATAGTACAAAATAATTACAAATAGTATTAACACTGGAATGCTAGATGTGTAAGAGATTATGTGCAAATAGAGATACTGGGGTGCAAAAGAGCAAAATAAATAACAATATGGGGATGAGGTAGTTGGGTGGGCTAATTTAAGATGGGCTGTGTACAGGTGCAGTGATCGGTAAGGTGCTCTGACAACTGATGCTTAAAGTTAGTGAGGGAGATAAGAGTCTCCAGCTTCAGAGATTTTTGCAATTCGTTCCAGTCATTGGCAGCAGAGAACTGGAAGGAATGGCGGCCAAAGGAGGTGTTGGCTTTGGGAATGACCAGTGAGATATACCTGCTGGAGCGCAGACCACGGGTGGGTGCTGCTATGGTGACCAATGAGCTAAGATAAGGCGGGGATTTGCCTAGCAGTGATTTATAGATGGCCTGGAGCCAGTGGGTTTGACGACAAACATGTAGTGAGGACCAGCTAACAAGAGCGTACAGGTCACAGTGGTGGGTATTGTATGGGGCTTTGGAGACAAAACGGATGGCACTGTGATAGACTACATCCAATTTGCTGAGTAGAGTGTTGGAGGCTATTTTGTAAATGACATCGCCGAAGTCAAGGATCGGTAGGATAGTCAGTTTTACGAGGGCATGTTTGGCAGCATGAGTGAAGGAGGCTTTGCTGCGAAATAGGAAGCCGATTCTAGATTTAACTTTGGATTGGAGATTCTTAATGTGAGTCTGGAAGGAGAGTTTACAGTCTAACCAGACACCTAGGTATTTGTAGTTGTCCACATACTCTAGGTCAGACCCGTCGAGAGTGGTGATTCTAGTCGGGTGGGCGGGTGCCAGCAGCGTTCGGTTGAAGAGCATGCATTTAGTTTTACTAGTGTTTAAGAGCAGTTGGAGGCTACTGAAGGAGTGTTGTATGGCATTGAAGCTCGTTTGGAGGTTTGTTAACACAGTGTCCAATGAAGGGCCAGATGTATCCAAAATGGTGTCGTCTGCGTAGAGGTGGATCTGAGAGTCACCAGCAGCAAGAGCGACATCATTGATATACACGGAGAAAAGAGTCGGCCCAAGAATTGAACCCTGTGGCACCCCCATAGAGACTGCCATAGGTACAGACAACAGGCCCTCCGATTTGACACATTGACCTCTATCTGAGAAGTAGTTGGTGAACCAGGCGAGGCAGTCATTTGAGAAACCAAGGCTATTTAGTCTGCCAATAAGAATGTGGTGGTTGACAGAGTCGAAAGCCTTGGCCAGGCCGATGAAGACGGCTGCACAGTACTGTCTATTATCGATCGCGGTTATAATATCGTTTAGGACCTTGAGCGTGGCTGAAGTGCACCCATGACCAGCTCGGAAACCGGATTGCATAGCGGAGAAGGTACGGTGGGATTCGAAATGGTCGGTGATCTGTTTGTTAACTTGGCTTTCAAATACTTTCGAAAGGCAGGGCAGGATGGATATAGGTCTGTAACAATTTGGATCTAGAGTGTCACCCCCTTTGAAGAGGGGGATGACCGCGGTAGCTTTCCAATCTCTGGGGATCTCAGACGTTACGAAAGAGAGGTTGAAAAGGCTAGTAATAGGGGTTGCGACAATTTCGGCGGCTAGTTTTAGAAAGAAAGGGTCCAGATTGTCTAGCCCAGCTGATTTGTAGGAGTCCAGATTTTGCAGCTCTTTCAGAACAACAGCTGTCTGAATTTGTGTGAAGGAGAAGTGGGGGGGGGGGCATGGGCAAGTTTCAGCGGAGGGTGCATAGTTGGTGGCCGGGGTAGTGGTAGCCAGGTGGAAAGCATGGCCAGCCGTAGCAAAATGCTTGTTGAAATTCTCGATTATTGTAGATTTATCGGTGGTGATAGTGTTCCCTAGCCTCAGTGCAGTGGGCAGCTGGGAGGAAGTGCTCTTATTCTCCATGGACTTTACAGTGTCCCAAAGCTTTTTGGAGTTAGTGCTACAGGATGCAAATTTCTGTTTGAAAAAGTTAGCCTTTGCTTTCCTGACTGCTTGTGTATATTGGTTCCTAACTTCCCTTAAAAGTTGCATATCGCGGGGGAGCTATTTGATGCTAATGCAGTACGCCACAGGATGTTTTTGTGCTGGTCAAGGGCAGTCAAGTCTGAGGAGAACCAGGGGCTATATCTGTTCTTAGTTCTGTATTTTTTGAATGGGGCATGTTTATTTAAGATTGAGAGGAAATTACTTTTAAAGAACAACCAGGCATCCTCTACTGACGGAATGAGATATATATCCATCCAGGATACCTGGGCCAGGTCAATTAGGAAGGCCTGCTCGCTAAAGTGTTTTAGGGAGCGTTTGACAGTGATGAGGGGTGGTCGTTTGACCGCGGACCCGTTACGGACGCAGGCAATAAGGCAGTGATCGCTGAGATCCTGGTTGAAGACAGCGGAGGTGTATTTAGAGGGTAAGTAAGTCAGGATGATATCTATGAGGGTACCCATGTTTACGGATTTAGGGTTGTACCTGGTAGGTTCGTTGATAATTTGTGTGAGATTGAGGGCATCTAGTTTGGATTGTAGGATGGCTGGGGTGTTAAGCATATCCCAATTTAGGT